GATATAATAGACTCAGTCGAGAACATGTAAATGAGTGGATCCCCTGATGTCTCCAGCAGCAGATCCCCTTTCTTTAAAGGACTGAAAATGAGCTCTACTGTGCTTATTTCACCCAAAATTCCTCGGTGAATGATCTCATTTGATATTACGGGGAAAATTCCCCGTACAAATGCGCATCCGTTGAATAAATGATTGAAGGAAACACCTACCTCTCTCCGTTGTAAACTACTCGAATCATTGATAAGCTGAGTGAGCTTTTGGAACATGGGATCGATGTTTCGAACAATCTCGGCTCCACCAACTACACACAGCTCCGAAATGGCATGAAGTACATGAACGGTGACATCGACATGCTGAACTTAAGCATTCCAGGGCAAGAAAGCGTTGATACTTTGGACGGACGTACCTTCATTTCGTTTCTCAGCTTCGGAAGGAGTGCCTGAAGAAGGGGTCCTAGATAGGGCCGCATGAACTTTGGGCTTTGGCGTGTGAGTTGAGTGAGCAGGCGAGCACTGTGTTGTTCAAGCCTGAACACATGATTCATCCATTATTAGGTGACATAAATTTGAACAAGTTTTGGTGCCACTTACTTGGCTTGACCGCTATTTGTCAACTGACTCAATGTCTCAAGCAAGACCCGTCTCATTCTCGGCAACACCAAAGCAGGATTAAGCTCAGATAAACGACCAAGAAGACAAACAGCAGCCTATAAATGAAACTACGTGTGCACGAGCAACGGCACAGAACAGAAAGGTGTCCATCAAAAGGATTTCCGCTAATGGCAGTAAACCAAGCCCACTCCGCGGAACGTCATACCTCCTGCATCTCCAGTTTCTCGTCATGCAAGCTCATAAACTGAAGCTGAAGCATTTCCGGCTGTGCTAGATGAGACAGAAAAGCGCGGTCTGCTTCACAAAAGCATTGCATAACGCATAACCGCACTTCCAACTCTGGAACAAGAGACTTTTACTTCAAGTATTTCGGAAACCTCACTTATCGCTCATATTATACAACGATGTAGAAGCTTTCAATCTTTCACTTATTCTTATTTGCAACCTCTACAGGGGGGGGGGCAATAAAAAAGACATTTGTCTCCAGACTCAGATGGATTTAATCACACTTTGCTCAGCTCAAAGCGTGTGCTCCCAACATGGAATTGAAGAGCGTATTTCATTTCACAAGAAAATCTTCATAGTGGCCATCTACGTGGACGACATCAGAAAAGTTTGCCCCTGGAAACATGGTGCCTCTGGTCGGGCTCTCAATGGGGTTCTCGAGTGATCGCGTACCGTTACGACGGGTTCCGAAGGGACTTGCATATTTATGTATCCCTAGAAAACTATCCCACGTTTAATCAATCCAAGAAATTATGTAAGAGCTTCAGGACTAAGAATAGTAATCTAGATAGCGCTGCCCTAACTTCCGGACTCGACGGTGACAGATGAATACAATATTCTGAAAACAGTGAGGGTAGTGAAGGAGGGCCTGCGTGTACTTACAGAAGAACTATATAGGGAATATTTTGCTGAGGAACTTCCGTCAACGACGCAATCTCTGCGAAGAAAAAAAAAAGGCCGAAGTGCGACCTAGGCAAAATGCCTTTTTTTTGGCCCCTCTCCCTCTATAAATCCTTTTTAAACAAGGAATCAACGAAGGAAATCAAAAATGAGTCGGAAATATCAGCTAACGCAGAGATAAATAAACAAACAAATGCACTTACGAGGATCAACAACTCCAGCGCTTGACAAGACTTCTCAGCACTCCATGAATAAGAGCTAATACCCATTGGCGATGCTCACGATGCACCTTTTCATACACCTAGGCAATTAGAAGTGGGGCTACTGCACGTGACAACACTACAAAATGATAGAACATCGTTTTTGTTCCGACAGAGATGAATTCCCGGTCTTTGCTCAATATAGGAAAAATCAGGGAGAAAGAAAAGTTAACGCTAGCCACTTCCTTTCGCTCACCTTCACAAACGGTTTAGATATCGCCGCACAGCACCTAACGGCTGCTAAACGCACCGCTACTGAGTCACACAAGAGATATCCCTGAAATATTGAAATCACAATTCTGGAAACAGCACTGGACATAGAATGCCAGAAGACCTACATCGGAAATGAACTGCATGAACATCTCCAAATAGTGCCGTTGAAAATCGAACTCGCCAAGCGTATCCAACGCTAATATTGTGAGAGGAACATTTGAAACCTGCAAATGTGAAAGGTCACGGAAAATAATATTACTTTCTTTCGAACCACCATGTTGAATTTGAATCCATTATAATCCTGACCTGTAATGTTTGTGAAGGAAGTACTGGCTTTTTCGGTGGATCCAGCTTACTCGGCAGAACACAACCTTGAATGCACATTAGTTTTAGCTCGAATTCGGCATCCAAATTCACCGAACGACAAACCCGTTAAAATCATATACAATTCCTTCATTAATCCATCCTGTACGTCCATTTGCAGTTGACTGATATGACGCACAATCTCATGCATAACACTTGTGAGACCTGAACAAGTGAAAATGTACACATACATTCGAAAGCCATCTGTTTTCTTAATCACGTAATACCATTAGCACTCAATTAGTACCAAAATAACCTTTTGTGGGAAAAAAGTGATAGCTTGCCTTTATTTTACAAAAACTATACATGAGGGCAGTACTCGAGGCCCGCGGCCGGAACAAGGTGGGAAGGGATTTCAAGTCATTCAATCGCTGATTGCAGGAATACTAGCATTATTTATATTCAATGGATCAGTTCCGCTTCGTCGGCAAAAATGAGAAGTTTACCTGTGAAGCTGAACCGTCTTCACTTGGGCTAAGATTATCCAAAAACCGTACTGGGGCGGGTGCAGCAAGCCACAATTCGGGGATGGGTTTCCGAAACTCT